TAGGGCGCCGGCACCACCGTTGCGACGACCGCCCCGCGCGTTCGAGCCCTGGAGGTTCTGTAGTTTGTCCTTGAGCGACGTGTGCGCCTCGTCGTGGGCTTGGGTGCGTTTGGGCGGCATGCTGGAGGACCAATGGCGGGTTTTGACAGAGAAGGAACGGTGCTGGCGCTTGCTCTGAAGGTAGATGGGCCTGTCCGTGTTTGGCCAAAGTCAGCATGCAGTGGTCGAGTGCTGGTCGCCAGCGAGATGGAGAGCAAAATGACGGCCAAGGCCCAAGCGCGCAATGACGTTGGCGCGCTTCTCGGTCAGGGTCCTCCTTTCCCTTCCCCTGCATTAGGCCATCTACCGCGAGCTCCTCCCAATCTCGACGAGATGTTCGTCCCATGATACTTCGTCTTTGAACAAGACTGTCGCTCTATCCCCCGAGGGAATTGTTAAGCATGCCTGGTGCCGTCGCCTGCCTCACGCTGTGTCGCGTATGTCGCGTGTCGCTCCGCGGCTTCCCCTCACCATCCCGGTCACGCGCGTAGTGCACCCCGAGTCGGAACCAGCTACTTGTCCATGTGCGCCGACCCACGACTCGCAGATACAACTCGATGCTGCACATAGGCCTATTGATGCCTGAGTCTGCGCCTGATATGAAGAGAGCGGACTTCGGGCGGTGATCCCACAGTTGACCTCGCAGCTGCGCGTTTCTGGCGCGCCCCATCGACTTCAACATCTAGCAGCACTTCGGCGGAAAGTAAGACTTGTAGTCATTGGGCCTTTGGACGCGCATCTCTGCAGCGTAGTCGTCGACCTCGTGAGCGCGGGGTACCAAGAGCCAGACTGGAACCACGATAAGCGAAGGGCCACAGAACCAGGAAATTTTGCCGACGTCGTTGCGAGTGGATGCCAGAGCATGGGGAAAGAGAAGATGTTGACGGAGTCGGGAAGAGCTCGGAAGCGAGGTACCCGCCTCTCACGATTAGCTCAATTCGATACCCAACGGGGACCAATGCGTAGGTATTAGACTTGAGATAAATCCGTGTTAATTCTGAGCACAGTCGAGGCGCGAAGCTAGTGCTATAGTCTGACTGTAAGGATAGGTAGATGATACGTGCTTGACAAGCATCAAACTCCTAGAGAGCCCAGTAACGCCCACATCGACTCTGGGCCTGGATAGAACCTGCGATAAACTTTCACTTGAGTGCAAAGCAGCAACCACATTCTCGGTAAGGCGTGGCATGCCTAGTGCCCAGCGACATCCCACCAGCGCCGTGAGGAATGTGTATAGTGCCAAACACTTCCCAAGATCTTGCGTAATCAACGCAATGGCACAAAGCTTGAATGTCCTACCGGTATCTTCGATGGGATGAACTTCACCTCATTCTCGTCTGCAGACACCACCACCCCGGCATCACCGCAACCTCATCTCTTTTACCTGAGATAGCATAGAGCTGCCGCTATGCCACCGCCTCTGTTTCCCAGATCCACGACTCTCATCTGTGGCCTATATAAAGAAGTCTTCTGAGGTTTCCAACCGTCCCTCCTCCATTCCTTTCTATATTATATGTCCCCAGCATATAACTTCCAGCACGTCTCACTTGATCACACCATCTCACAACGATAGCACATCGGTTTACGGTAAGACTTTGAGCCTCTTACTCTTAGATCCACCTCAAGCTGACAATTTCCTGCAGTCTCAACAACTCCGAGTACCCCAGAGCTACAAGTCATCCTGGTTGGAGAAGTCTAGTACTTTCGCAGTACAATGTCTAATCGCGATCCAGTCCTTCACGGCCAACACTCGCAGCGGTTCCGTAACATCAGCTACACGATGAATCCCGCGGCCAACAACTTCGCCCCAACCGGTTCTTGGCACGGCGCGCCCAGCCAGGTGAGCACCCCTTCTTCTCCATACTTGGAGGCAAGGACTCTCAACCTGGAAGAGGGGCATGCAAAGATACGCGCAGACATCGACACTCTCCAAGAGTTGTACCATGGCCTCTCATTGTCCGTCGACAAGCTCAAGAAGGGCGGTTGGCCAGTACATGTTGGCCCATTCCAAGAGGTGGATGTACAGAAATCACACCAAAGCGCCGTAGAGTTCGGGATCGAGCTGGAGAAACTTAAGGAAGAGGTTCAGGGATCTGTAAAAGGTGGTGCTGACGTACAAAAGGTGAACAGCAGTACACCTCCCCATCTCAGGACTTCCAGCGACACCAGCAGCGGTACAGTCAAGACATCTCTGCCTCCGCATTTGCGAGGTAAAAAGCTCGAGTCTACCAATGGCCAAGTGTGAGTGTATCCTTAGATGCATGGACGAGTTTTGGAGTTACTTGAAGCTGACGAGGACAAAGTACCCGCACCACCAACACCCATCAAGTCGATGTCGTCTCCAAGCAGATCCCCACATCTGCTTTAAGCCCACCTGCTTCACCAATAATTGCCGTCCAAGATCCCGCCCTGTCCATCGAAGGCGTTTCTCTGGATGCAGCGTGGAAGCCTTACCATCTTACAATCCTGCCCGCGTTCTCCGGTCAACTTTCCACAGGCAACGCCACCGTCACGTTCCATCCTGACTTCCTCGCCAACACTTTGGGTGGAGCTTCCTGGTCACCTGGCCTGCGTTTCGTCTCAGGCAAGGGTCCATGCATGCTGAAGAATCGTACATACTACCAGCTCGATCCGAAGAATGAACCTTACCTGCCCAAGGCGCCTGGCGACCACGGTGCAAAGCTCACTGCCTTCTTCAACAAGGCCCCAGAAGAAGAATACGGCGATCTACTTGACGAAGACTCCAACTCGTACGAGGATGTGCCCATGTTCGTTCTCGTCGGAAAGCGCTATATGTACTACGGCAATTATTCGCAGACACGCTGGTCGGATAAGCTGGACTATGACACCATGACGGCTAGAGTACCTCAATACGTCAAGGAGTACTGGGCTGAAGAGCTCACCTCATCGACGCGCGAGAAGTGGGTTACCGAAGAACTCAAGAAGCATTTCTTTCGCAAGCCGGAGTACAGCGGCCGTCTCTTCGCTGCACCGGATCACGAAACCACTGTTGACTCTGAGGAGGAGGTTGTGCTCACAAAGCAACTGACCAAAGACGTGCGCAAGTACGTTGAAGAACTTCGTGAGTGGGAGCGTGAGGCCAACATGAAGACCGCTATGATCAAGAAGCAGTCTATCCTTGAGGCGTTCGACGCGGTAAGTCATGTTGAATTGTATGAGTAGTTCAAAGCTGATCGATTGCAGTCTGATATGGATGAGGCTCCTGCACTTCGTCTCTGGTGGGAATACCTTGAGTGCGTTGACTGGAGGAAGGACTTCTACGAGCTCCTTGTCACGCTCCAAGAGCGTAACGCTAAAGGCTACTTACAGTAGTTCGATCTCGCGCATGCCTGGTTCAAAAGACGAGGTCTATGGGGAATGAGCACCTGGTTGGGAATTCGCAATCTGCAGCAGCTCCGAGTCTGGCTGATGATATCACACATCTCTTCGGCATCTTGCGAAAAAGTATTTATGTTGCCGTGCATCTACTGGCTACCGGGGAAGTGGGAAAGGCAAGGTCTGTGTACCTCTAACCTCGAGCTCCCGTGCCCTTTGTCATTCTGGTTTTTGTCTTGCATTTTTGGCTGTCGAGCACATGTGAGTGGCTCGGAACACACGATCACGGGTGCAGGAATTAGGTATTGCGTAAAAGTATTCTCTCTATCATCAATTTCTTCTCACACTTTGGTCCACGACTTTGTTAATACGTAGACAGCGACTGACAATCCAGCTTCAGCACTGGCGGGGCAACAGCTGTGATACATCTAGGCGCTTGCCATGTGCTTGAGCAACCCTTTCGGACCTGGCGCTCGGATCAGATTTCATCTATCCATCCTGACGTCAATATTTAGTATAGCGTCCCGCGGGATGCGAATGCTTATCTGACGGTGGGCATCAATGCATCACGCTATTGAACACTCTATCGTCTTGTCAGGCGACCAGATTAGGTCCACAATCCTTCCCTCACTCCGATCTGGCCTTTCGTCTGCTCCTACCAGCGGAGTAGACGACACATGCTGTTGGGAAATCATGCCCACTGTTCACAGTTCCTGTTCCGCCAAACCAGCTGGTCCAGCCTGGAGCTGACACGCTATACATATGGCTAAGGCCCTCGACCAGGTTTTCGTTCGGCTCAGCGTATTCGATGGGTCCATATTGACCGGGCGCTCCGTACATCTCACGATTCATTTGAATCATCACATACAGCAGACCCTACCGTGACCTGTTGTATTCTGACCACCCATGCATAAGCGAGGTATGCTCTTCTCTCCAGCCAGCGTCTCTTCAAATCAGTACCGTATACTAATACTTTCACACCCAGGTCTTTGCTACACTTTGCGCGTGCAGCCCATTTTCACAACCCTTGTGATGTTGTCGCTAACGAACCCGATGAGATACTCAAGCTCTGAGCTTCATATCTTATGGTCGAACAAGCAGCGGCCATGTGTGATCAAGATCATCCTAAATTATAGATGACCCACACCTCATATACCAAGCATTCAAGTCATGGGTACACGCTACCGTTTTCCCCGCGAAATGTGACCTCCGGCTATTTACATCCCTGCGCACTTCATCTATGCATTCCCCAACGGCTGTCTGCTCCGTTGAGACTACCACAAAAGTCGAGCGTGCTTCTTCGCGCCATTGGCCCATTGATCGGATTATGCAGTATTGCCCAGATCTGGCCCGGTCGCACAAACTCCTCCAGAGGTCGAGATGCCATGCGGCTGTGACGGACCAAGCATATGGACTAGTATCACACATCAATCTACGGTACGCGTGGAGATTTGCGTCGTAGAGGCAACACAATACCCGGTTTTCTCACGCGATACGCGCCGGTGTGGCTTACGGGGGCAAACGGAAAGTATATGAGAAGGTGCACTCTCTGCTTGTACCACCGCCCATCTTTGCGCATCGACTTGTTATCTAATATCGGTCCCTCTAGTTTGCTCTACAACATAATGAAGTTCTACACGGCATTGACGGCGGTTGCTTCCTTGGTTGCAACTGCGACCGCTCATGGAGGAGTCGATCAGTATATTGTAGGAGACACAACCTACCAAGGGTACATCACCTTCTCACACGCACTCTTCCCATGTACTGACAATTCCAAGATGGTCACCGTACAACTCAGCTTCAGGTCAAAAGTCCATTCAGCGACAGTACTCGACTTACGACCCCATGTACATCAAAGATCTCTCAGTACGACCCTACAAAAGCGTACATCAACCAAAAGCTCACTTATTCTAGACAGTCAACATCCGCTGCAACAATAACGGCGCTCTCGGTACAGGCATGACTGGCACCATTGCCGCTGGTGCCAAATTGAAGACACACTGGAAGCAATGGACTCACAGGCCGACTTCTCTTCTTGTATACATGGCCAAATGTCCGGGATCTTGTGACGGCTTCGATGGAGCTGGTAAAGTGTGGTGTAAGTACACATCCCTTAAGTGGACTACATCTCTAACAGGACCGCGATGTAGTTAAGATATATGAGCAAGGCCTCATATCCGGGACTGAAAACTCCGGCATCTGGGGTAAGTTGTGAGGGTACGAAGTGCATGTGAGACAAACACTGACTTCGTACCTCTACCTCTGCAGCAGGTGATGCCATCCTCGACACTCTCTATGCCACAGTCACTATCCCGGCTACACTTGCAGCAGGTGACTACTTGATCCGTCATGAGCTCATCGCTGTACATCAGGCGAACAACCCGCAATGTGAGCCAATTTTTCACATTGCCATACCGATGCTCAAGCTGATACTCTCCAGTCTATCCCGAGTGCGCTCAATTCACCGTGACAGGATCGGGTACAGCCTCTCCTCCCGCATCAGCGCTCGTTTCTTTCCCGGGCGCCTACACTGGAACAGAGCCTGGCATTGCTTTCAACATTGACTCCCCTGAAGCCAAGCAAGCAACCACTTATCCTGTCCCTGGCCCTGCTGTTTGGGATGGAAGCGGTTCTGCGCCCGCGCCGTCTGCTGCACCCACCGCTGCACCCACAGCCACAGCCTCCCCCACTACCATCATGACCAGCGCATCTGCTACGCCCACAGTACCAGCTGCGCCCATATGCGAAGTTGCGAAGTATGGGCAGTGTGGCGGGAAAACCTATAGTGGATGTACAGGCTGTGCGAGTGGGTCGACGTGCAAAGCCAACGGCGATTACTACAGTCAGTGTGTTTAGACTCGGATCGCTCGTGACGGTCACATCAAATAGTAGTTCATGCCTAAGCAGAAACACAGCAGACCTCGGGAATAAGTGATTTCGGTTTTGGCCAGCATGACATCATTAGTGACGATTTAACCCGAAGGGGTATAGCAGTCACAGTCTTGGCAGGGGTTCGTCCCCCTTCCAGATTATGGTTCTCCAATCGTTCAACTCACATCATCCATGTCAAATCCGTTTTCAATACTTCAGAATTTGCTCGTTGATTCAGTCGGATGTCTAGCTACCCAGCGCCAAGACCTTCGCCAGGACATCATCGTCGCTTGATCCGTCTCCCTTGATAGTCGCATATGCTGGCGCAAGCACAGCCTTCTCGATCTCTGTGTATTTTCCGTCGCAGGCAAAGATGAGGTCTCCGTGACGAGACTTGTCTACCATCAAGTAGGCCGCTGCTCGGGCAACGACTGAAGTAGACTGGCAGTTGTGCGAAACCGCATCTAGCAAACCTTTCAAATCGGGCAAGACCTGAGTTGCCGTCCATGAAGGGGCGAGAGTGTTGACGCGAATAGGCAGACCGGCAGCCTTCACCAACAGCGCGAAACTCCTACCAAAGCCTAGAACACCCGCTTTGGCCGTCGCTGAGTCGTGCTGTTAGTGGGAGATTCAAACGTGATCGACGAACTTGTTACTCACAATAATCAACTGCTCGGACGGGATGCAAGCCGGTGCTGGACCCCATGATGACAATAGACCCCCCCTCGGCCTGGCCCTTCAGATAATGGGTAGCGAGTGTCACGGTCCTGACAACACTGTCCAGATTGATGTCCAAGGTGTCATCGTTTGGTTCCTTGGGGTCACCGTTCTCATCGACTTCGAGAGCCAAGTAATTTGCGCGTGGCCCAATTCCAGCATTCGCAAACACAAAGTCAACACGACCGTGCTTTTCTTTCGCGGCCTTGAATAGTTTCGTTAGATCGCTCCAGCGCCTGACGTCGATTTGGACGAAGTGACAGTCAGCCACAGACGCCGGTGGTGCCTGAATATCACCAGTCACAACTAGTGCGCCTAGAGAGAGCAGTAGCTCTGCTGTGGCGAGACCAATACCAGACGACCCACCTACGGCATTGTCAGTGTTCTGGAACCTGAAAGTTGATTGGGCCGAATCAAGGTACCTGTTATGACGGCAACTTTGCCCTGAAAGCCCGTCAGGTCAGAGTCTTGGATTTGGAACGATGTCATGGCGGAGCTAGGTATGGTGAGAGTAAACAGATGGAAGTTTCAGCAAAATACAGAAAGGAAGAGGATAATATGCAGACATAATCGGGGCCCCGGCGCATCAGCTCGAGCTCATGCAAGAGCGCACTGATTTGGAACAGTCATGGGCTGGCATTGTGAGGCTACCCGTGTTCTGGGCCCAGAAACATCATCTCAAACGAAATCTGAGGAGCTGCCGGAGATTTACAAGGAACACAGCGAGCTCGGGAGGGACTTCGTACGGGGCCCGTTTTTTTCATCCGCAGGGAAGGATTCCGCTCGTGGCAAGCCAACCGCGACCTTGAAGCTGCTCAATCAACATCGCAACACACTCGCGCGACTGAGCATCTATCAGTCAAGATACGAAGCGCGATGGTAATCGCCTGAACCAGGTGACCACCTAACTTTGCTGCCGTCTTGGGACGAACATTTTCTAATCAGGCAGTCTGAGCGTGGCGCCGGCCGGTGTTGGAACCGCGTCCATGGGCGGACCAGCTGTAAGACCCACTTAAGCTAGCAACGGCCCGACAGGGGAAGAAAATCACGACACCTGCCACCCATGTACCGGTCACTAGGGGTCACCAACGCCTCGCGGGTACTTCGACGATTTAGATGGATAGCAAGTCTGGTACGCATAAGGCTTCTTTGATGCGGGTAGCTCCTCTTCACGACGCCGCAGCCCAGAGTGGGACCATGCTCCATTGATGCTCGCTTCCACAGGCAAGGTGTCGGAGAAAACGTAAACAATTCGGACCACGCGGCAGTCCTATACACTAAACTATTCCCGAGGGCATCCTCCGCGGGTAGTTGACACATTAGATCCGATCTAGACGAAGCCCTTTACGTCTAGCGCCCGCGACCTTAGGACGTAACACGAGGGCCCTGTTTGCACGGCTCACGATCCACGACATGAGTCGACAGAAAATTGGGGTTCTCCTGTGATACAGTGGTAGAGATGAAACGTCCAATATATGTCATCCGGCGAGCTGCCACCGGTGTCATGTTCGTCATCTGCTTGCTTCATTTCTCGATCTCTGATACGGTTGTCTACATTACGCAAGGAACATGCCGACTGTCGAAGTGGCCAGAGATGGAGTGGCGTTGTTGTACTGCGCAATCATATTGCTCGTGTTGAGTTGGATCGTCTTCTCTATGAGAGTCGGGGTACGGATGTGGAGGAAAGCGTGGGGCATGGATGACTACTTCATGCTCGTCGGAACTGTAAGTACCCAGCACCACCAGCATGGGATAAGCCAACTGATAGTTCGCTGCAGATTCTCTTCTCAGTGACAGCTGCTCTTTGCATCGTCTGTTGTCACTATGGCTCTGGACAGTTCGCACGAGAGCTGCCCACGGTGACAATATCCAAAGGAACAAAGGTACATACTCCCTATCTACGAAATGCTATAGACTCCGCACTCACTGTGTTCAGCTCTTTTACATCGCAGAGTACTTCTACGCAGTCAGCGCCATGTTCGTCAAGATCAGTGTTGCAGTAGCGCTTCTGCGCATCGCTGTTGGTCGTCGCTTCTTCACGTGGGCTTTATGGGCGCTGATTGGTGCTACCATGGTTGCTGCTTTAGTCTTCTGCATAGGAATTGCAAACATCTGTGAGTTGACTTGTTCCACAAGTAGGAAATATCGTCGCTAACGTTTTGCCGGCCATCCGATCAACACGCTATGGGGTGAATCTAATGGCACCTGCAACCTTCAGCTCAATACCAACGTCAGTCTGTTCTACTCGGCCATCGAGATCACTGCGGACTTTAGTCTCTCGATCATGCCGGCTATTCTGCTTTGGAATGTCCAGATGAAGGGAGCTGTGAAAGCTTCAGTTGCTGTCATGCTTGCGCTCGCTTCTTTGTAAGGCCTTGACGATCCCTCATGCTATGATATCAAAAACTGATCCTGACTCAGTGCCTCATGTGCTACCATCGTCCGCCTCAAGTACCTCACACTCTACAGTGACCCTGGCGAGTTCATGTACAGTACGGGCAAAATCGGCTTCTGGTCCTTGACCGAAGTCGGCATTGGCCTCATCGCCGGTTCGCTACCTCCTCTTCGCCCTCTCCTATCCCTGCGCATTAGGGTATCTGCCGGCTCCAATACTCCTGCTGCATCTGGCGGACAAGCATACCAATCTGGAATAAACAATCGGCAGCCCACCTCGCGCTCCCGCGTGATAGCCATGGACACCTTCCAGACCTTGGGCGACAACGACGAGGCCGATAATAGTGATGGAGACTCTCAGAAGAATATCATAAAGGAGACGAAGTTCACAGTAACTTCGGTCATTGCTGGAGGTCCTCGAGACCCGGGGCCTATGGCTTGGGATCGTAAGGAGGGAAGCAACGTCTGAGACTGTTTGCTTATGATGAGAACATAGTGAAATGAGCGCGAGTCTTAGGTAGTGATAGCGAACGCGGTAGACTCATGATATACTTTGTACACTTATCAGAGCCGGCGTGGAAAAGTGCAGGATAGACGTGTGACGGCTGCGGAGAAGGTTCATATCTGAACCACCAGCTAGACCAGAGAGATCTCGGTGTCTTCCAAGCTCATGGGTTGTGTTGATCGTACGTTCTACGTTCGAACGGGAACCGTAGACCTATGTAGTCCGCCCAGATAGTGCACCTCGGCGTAGTTGCTATGTGTGGTTGTGTATTTGCCGCTGGCTCGATAGAGGCATCAGTATTATCCTAGCAACAGGAAAGTTCTGCTCAAACAACAGCTGCAGGCCGATTACTAGACAATATCTCAGGCGTGTGGGGCGTGTAGATAATTTGTCGTTGAGTAAGAAGTCTTGGCAGACGGTCTCTTGTATTACCTAAAGAAGTTAGTAGAAGCGAAGTGAGTGAGTTGTTGGCCGTCGCAAATGATCGTGAAGGTCATAAGAACGCGTGTAGGGCGTCTAGTTTCGGCGATAAGCGTGCTAGCTACGTCAGGCCGCCTCAACCCGAAACCCCACCACTTTGACCTACACGGCAGTCGAAAGCAGTAGCACAATCCCCACGATACATAATGAAGGCCGCCACGATGTCCAGACGCTGCTTGTCAGCTCCACGCAACCTCGTACCCACTCTTCCGCGACACGCCCCAACACCTCGACGACCGTTCTCTACTACACGACCAGCGTCCTCCGAGATGGATACAGCAGCATTTGGCGAACAGCACATTGCAAAGGGCATTGGCCGCCTCACCAACCATGTATTTGAAGATGGAAAGGGCACATTCATCACCACGGACAAGGGCGTCAAGCTGCTTGACATGACGGCCGGCATTGGTGTTGTGAACCTTGGTCACTGCCACCCCAAAGTCAGCGCTGCCGCAGCGGCACAATGCAACAAGATCACACACGCCCAAGTCAACATTGGCTTCAGCTCCGCACAGATCGCTCTTCTTAAAGAGCTGATTCCGATACTTCCCCACGAATCGCTCGATACCGTCTTCTTCTGGAATTCGGGTGCAGAGGCCGTTGAAGCAGCCGTCAAACTTGCCCGTGCCGCGACGAAGAAGCCGAACATCATCGTCATGCAGGGCTCATACCACGGCCGCACGAACGCGACAGCCTCGATGACGCGATCTAAAACTATCTACGGCGAAGGTCATGGACCTCTGATGGGTGGCGTCTTTGCGTCAGCATTTCCATACTACAGCCAGTTTGGCATGTCTCCAGACACACCGAAGGAGCAACTCGTGGGCCAGGCACTGCTTCAATTGAAGCTTACACTGCAGCAGCAGACGTCTCCCGCAGATACCGCAGCTATCATTCTGGAGCCCGTTCTTGGCGAGGGAGGCTATGTCCCGGCACCACCCGAGTTCCTACACGGCGTCAGGCAGATTTGCGACGAGCACAACGTCCTTTTCATCGCTGACGAGGTCCAGTCTGGTATGGGCCGCACGGGACACATGTGGTTCGTGCAGGAGTCTGGCGTACGACCAGACATTCTCATCTTCGCAAAGGGCATTGCGAACGGGTTCCCTCTATCCGGTATTGCGAGCAGTAAGAAGCTTATGGATCTCCAAAAACCAGGATCCATGGGTGGCACATATGCGGGTAACGCAGTCGCATGCGCCGCCGCAACAGCCACAGTCAAAGCATTCCACGAGGAGAAGATCCTGGACAATGTCGCCGCGCGCTCCAAGCAGATCTTCTCGTTCCTCCGTGATCTCAAAGCTTCTGGCACCAAGGCCGGTAACTTGATCGAAGATGTTCGCGGATCGGGTCTCATGGTCGGTGTCCAGTTTGCAAACCCAGAACTGCAACGCGACTCGTCAAATACTGCTGCGCAACATGCTCAGAGCCAGCCACAAATTGCACCCAAGATTGTGCAGGAATGCGTCAAGCGAGACATGCTTCTCCTCAGCACTTCGGTGTTTGACGTGCTGAGGTTTATTCCGCCACTCACCATCAGCGAGGAGGAGTTGAACCAGGCTTGTAACATCTTCAAGGAGTCCCTGGAGGCCGTCGCGAAGGAAATGTAGATGTCTTTGGCTTGGTGATGCGATGCGCGCCATGTCGGGAAACTTGAGATCGTTTTTGCTAGCAGATATATACCCTTTTCCGCGTCTGGATGTGCGACCAATCACAGAACAGTCACTCAATTATTGATGCATCCATTGCTTGAACGATGCGACGGAGCTGCGACCGGATAGAAGTTGGGCAGATCGATCCCGTAAGCCGCCTCGCCTTCGCTGTTCGGAAGGCCGAACACCAATCAGCGGCGTTCGTCTCAGCTGCTGCCAGAAGCGGGCGAACAACCCGCCGACTCGCACAGTCGCGGTGCGCAACACCATGTGTACGAGCAATACTAAGCAGAGCTGGATTTCGCATATGTGAATAGACATGGCAGAACGATGTGTCCATAAAAGATGCAAGAATCACTCAACTCTCAATCGAACACAGTCGCAACCTTCTTCTCTTTCTCCTGACCATACTAAATAACATCCGATTAGCCATCAATGGCTCTCAAAGCAGTCCTCGT